ACACACACACACACACACACACACACACAGGTTTTTTGCAGCAAAACCTGAATAGTGAGGGCAGATAAAAGGCCAGCGAAAATACAAGGGACCTTTCCAAGTCCTATGAAATGAAATTTTTTTAAAAAAGTACACAGCTCACAGGCAATTACAGCCCCCCAAACACCTTCATTCTTCCTCTCCTGGCAATAATAGGCTGTGTTCCATAAAAGCCTGCTGTCCCATAAATCTAGGCTCACAATCACATCTAAAATGATCTGGCTTTCCAGCAGTACCCCACCTGCTTAACCCACTTCTCTGTTCCATCAGACAGTTCCCATTCCATCTCATTCCTCCCTCTTCTAAGCCATTTCACTCCACAATTGTTTAGACCTAAGTACTGAGCAATTAATTTACTACAGAGAACATCCCTTCACCCCTGGCTTCTTTCTCCAATTCATACATACACAATTCCTTGAGCTTTCCCATCCTTTCTCTCTATAACCCTAGGAGCCTATATTAGAGTGCAAATCTACCTAATCCCACAGGTTCTAAGAAATGCTCTGGGCAGTCAGCTCCTAAGAACAAAAAGTCTCCATGGTCAGAACATCTCAAGTGTTTCCTTAGATACCAAAGAAGCTGTAATTATAACTAGAGCCTTTACATGATTATCCCCAAAGAAGCTGTAATTAAAACTAGAGGCTTTACGTGATTATCCACGTAAAGGCTTAGCTATCGCAAAGACAAAAGCAACTGTCTTCACACACACCCATCAGGTTTTGAAAGACACTAATCAGCGAGAGATCAGATTTATGTGATGAAAAAGTAAGTGGCCTGCTTCTTCCCATTGCCCTAATAAAAGCAAGCTACTATAGCTTTTATTTTTCACATTTTCTTTACACTTAGCACCAAAAATCACTCATATTATTGGGAAGGTCTAAAAATGTCCATTGTATTAACAAATCTTTCAGTTACAATTTTTTGTTAAATGTATTTATTTAGTACAGGATCTAGAGTCTCACTGCATAGATTGGACTCCTGTTTTCTGCCTCCCAAGCACTGGGATTACAGGTGTGAGCCACCACACCCAGTCTCAATCGCTGTCTCAGCACGCCTTTGGGGTGAGGCTGGCATGGCAGGCAGCGATCACGCCCCAGCCACTGCGTTCTGCCTAAGCATGCACTTTAGTCTGCTGAGCTATCTGGCCAGCCTTTTTC